GATGATTAAATTCAAAGCAGCAAAACATACGGAAAATCCATTATTTTTGGGGGGATTTTTTCATTAATTTCATAAATTTTTATGGGATTTCGGTGTAACAATCAACATATACCGAATCGAACCGAACCGAAAACCGTGAATCGAACCGAACCGTGGATTTTGTGAACTGTTCCACCTCTAATATATATATATATATATATGTGCTATCTGTGCTTTCAGATTGTGATGCTGGGATTACAGAAACATCTGAAGTTACAAATAAAGGCATAAGGAGTGTTAGATCGGTGTGAGGGGGGCATACTGAGGACACTGGCAGAATAAAATCAGTTATTTAAATGCTGTTAATCTCATTTTGTTTACATTGTGCTAATTCACAACAAATGTCTTCATTTTACACAGAACAAAATCCAATTAATGTTGAGATGTTGAGAAATAGTCTAATCATAACTCAAAATATTAAATAGGGAACATAAGATTTCTGTAAAAGAAGATTTTTTTTACTGAACTCAACCTGCTTCCATTTGGAATCAATTTAAATCAATTTCAAAATAAAGGTTTTGGCTGCAAATTAAAAATGACATATAGAAGGTATAATGCTCTGGATTATTTAGAAAGGCAGAGTGGGAAACAGTTGACCTTTAATAAACATGAATGCTTAGATTTTTATCAGATCATATCTATAGATACAGATCATGTGATGTCCCCTTCCAAGGTAAAGATACCAGCTCTACTTGAGACACATAAAAAGCTTTGGCACTAACATTTTAGATAGAATAGATTATGATAGAATAGAATAGAATACAATAGAATAGAAATCCACTTTATGTTTCCACAGACACTGAGTGAAATCAGGAGTGTCATTAGTAAAGCAGAAAGGCATATTTCAGCCCATAAATATTTCTTTCTCTTAGAAGTTTTCTGGATCTTCATGCTAAATAATTTGTTTTTTAAATCAACACATCCTGAATTCATCAGATATCTGAACGATTTCTTGCTCCAGAATCCCTACAGGGTTAAGATAGTTTCCTCTCTATTGGTTCGAGACAGCTTTAACGACTTTAGAGCGTGAAAAGTTTCATTCACCTGATCTCCTTGGTGGGCTACAATAGATCCAGCTTTGACCTGACGAAGCGTCACCCTTCCTTCCAACAGACTGGGGTCCTGTTCAACAACACCAGCAGATAACATGTCTCTGTTAAGCCCATGTTAGCAAACCACAACTAATTAACTAATTAAAACATTTCCTCTGAAAGCTACCTGTAGCTGGATGACCTGCAGCAGGTCCTTTTTAGCAGCCTGGAAGATGGTGTTGACTTTGTTATGATGGCCGCTTCCTGCTCCAGGCTCGCAGTAATGATAAACAGCAGACGGAGCGGGCAGCATAGTCACGCTCTTCTTCAGAATAGACTGAGGACACAAAGATTGACCAAAAACAATCAGAAGAACATTGGGTGACTTTACAGGGAGATTGTGCAGCTTTAAAGGGTCTAAGCCAACTCAGTTTAAAACTGGAATAAAGTTCATTCTTCTACAGAAACCTTAACAGAGCCTTGGGTTCCCGCCTCTTCTTTGGAGGACTGAGGCTGGTCGAACCATCTGCTGCCCTCTGCAGGTCCTTCACCTCCTAAAAAGAACCCAACACACGTCATTAAAGTAAAGTTGCAGCTTCTGCCTGTCCTGATACCTGTTACCCCAAAATCCTACATCCTCAGCTGCGTTCCAGACGGCCTGTGCAAAGCCAAGCCTACAGCCTCCGCTGTTCCTCCCGTCTTGCTGCACTCCGACTTCCTCGGAGCTTGAGGAGAGCATGCGCCATATTATCATTAAATTCATAGGAGCAAAACATGCTTTAAATTAACGCTTAATTTATTATATATTTTAAAAATTCCAATTAGCATCCAGTATATGTTCAGTATCTGCACAAATATTTTCTTTTTGTTGTGGATTTTTTCTAACAGGGATAACTAGGATCATACAAAACTGTTTGTTCTCTACTTCCAAACTCAGCATCTCTTCATCCATTCATGTAATAGGAAGTTTCTTTTGACCTTTTTTGATTTATTTAAACTTTTAATCAAATTTCGATGTAGATGACAAATCTGCTTCCTTGTCTGTTGAAGAACCAATAGTTTGCATCCAATCTTTTACTTCAACGGTGTTCATTTTTTTTGGAATATATAAGAATTATGCTCTAATTTGTAGTTACCGATCTGTTGTTACTATATTTTAATTTGACAAACCGGATCTTCTCGATGTTCTTTTTCCTGTTTGGTGCGATTGCAATTGCAGATCTTGATCTGGCCGGACCGGAGCAGAGCAAAGAAGAGCTTGGCTCCGTATTTTGACGATGACGGACAGAAAAGACGTACATGGACGGTGTTATGCGGAGGAGTAGCGGTGGATGTGGAGCAGCTCTCATTAATTAACATGACACAAGTACTCCGTACAACGTATGTGAGCGGGGCGGAGTGCTGACGGACTATATGGAATCTGGGGGTTAGAGGAATTACTGAAGCCTTTCCACATCCAGACAGAGTGACAGAAGCACAACTGGACTGAAGCTTTTTAAGGAGTTAAAATGGCCTAGTCAAAGTCCCAAGTAAATATCCCTAGCATTTGGTTAATTTTGGTCTTTCCAGACACTTTATCAGCCAATCAGGCTT